ACCGCAATAAGCGCTGCTACACGGCATGGCATGGAGTCAAGCAAATTGTGAATGTCTGTCTGAGGAAGAGCATGTCATATAGTTTGTATGCGTAACCAAAGTTCGTCTGTAGAAGCAACAGGATGAGGATCATGAGCAAGACACCGACCAACGAAATGACGCACATGTTCAATCGGTGACGTTTCTGGGGAATACGCTGGGCAAGGAAGGATTGAACAGTCCTAGCAATAAGAGGGCGGGCATTGTCTTGTTGAAATACAGCGCCTGGCAAGGCTTGAAGGAAGGGAACAGCTTGGGGCTGTAAAACTTCACTGATGTACCGGTTATTGTTCAGATTACCCACAATTCGTAGCAATTGAGATCGTCCATGATATGCTATGGTACCCCAAACCATAACTCCGAGTGTTCGTCCACTGTGGCATTCGATAATGCACTCCGGAAGGTGGCTTTCACAGGCATTGCGTCTGACACGAATGCGGCAATCATGGTACCACAAATTAAAGCGGAATTCGTCAGAAAACACGACATGCAGCCAATCAGCACGCCAGTCCTTATGCCTGATTGGCCCACTGTAGCCGCAGGCGGCTAAGGTTTAGCGTGATGGTGATCCTGTATAAAGGAGTCCTTGCGCGCCGTCCACGCTGCAGTTGACGTCTACGAATTGATGAAGCACACAATGAAACACCTGTAGATATTCACCACTGTGCTTCCAGTTGTCTAGAGGGAGCCGTACGGTCTGTCAGCGCCATGCAGACCAGGTGTCTATCATCGCAAGCTGACGTGACATTTCGTGGTCCACTCCCGAATTTCCGAGTTGTCTGACACTCGTCCGTCCACTGCTTCCAAACACGCATCACTGTGCTGCTGTAACGCTACACACGAGCCGCTACTGCACTATGAGACATCCAGCTTTACAAAGGCCGATGATTCTCCCCCTTTCAAACTCCGTAAGTTGTTGAAATCTCGCTCTCTTTCGTCGAAGAGGCGTAACGTCTGAGCTAGCGTTTACCACTAGCAGATAACCACCGATAACCATACACGCCTCGCTGCAGCCATCTATTTATTCAGATCCATCCGCCGTTCAGAGGGCGCTGCTCAGCATGCGCTACGGGTCAGAAATTCTAGTCATTTGCATATTATACTCTACTTTGCATTTACTGAAAATTTCTGCTCACTCGCGTAAGTCCTTCATGGTGTTGGAATTTTCACAAACATGAGTTTATTACCATCACGTCTAAGTAAAAACAGATGAATCATTATTTTAACCTTATAGCTTGTCCTCATTAGCGTAACTTCATAACGCGTGAATATCGATAGGAGGATTTGCGTTAATATTACCATCACGTCTAAGTAAAAACAGATAAATTCATTATTATAACTTTATGACTTGTCCTCATTAGCGTAACTTCATAACGCGTGAATATCGATAGGAGGATTTGCGTTAATATTACCATCACGTCTAAGTAAAAACAGATAAATTCATTATTATAACTTTATGACTTGTCCTCATTAGCGTAACTTCATAACGCGT